ATAAAAAAAGAAGATAGTGCAAGAAAAATAAAAGAAACACAAAATTAAGACGGTTTTCAAAGCCAAGAAAATGGATTGTTGTAATTACGTTCAGCCGTACGCGAGACGTGGCCATTTTTACCAACAGCAACAATTCTGTTATGAAAATGCAAATGCTTACACACTGTACAACGACACAGTTCCGATTGCCAGTTCGATCGAAGCCAATACACGCTACAACAGACTACCATTCGCTTATCATACGGGTAAGTAAACTAATCCGACGGCTGGACTGTGTACACGAAAACTTTTTTGAAATATTGGAAATTTTCATGATTCATTCGCTTATTCCGTCTGTTAGTTTTATTGTTGGATTGAATTTCTATAACATGATACGATAATACTGTGAAAATAAATCTAGAATTTCCACATCAAAATTTCCTACTGTCAATAATTTTTTTTACAAAGGTAATAGTTTTCGATCTACTACACATTACCTTTGTAGAAAAAACATTGTCAATGGGAAATTTTCTTATGCGTTGACTATCTTTTCTTCGCGGCAAATTGAGAATAATTATTTGTTTAAATATTTATATATATATATAATATTGTAAATAATATATATACAGGGTGTCCCAATGAAAACAGGACGGTTGAGTATCTGTTTAAGGAAGAGCGAAACAGCAAAATGTGTCAGACGAACGTTGTAGGATACGAAGGGGGAAAGTCAGTGCAAATAGAATCCATCCTCCTACTATTTATGCTTCTATGTTGCAAGCATAAATCCAGTTTTTTTAAAAGGCAACAACATGTTTGAATCCGCACAAGTTGTTCGTCTCATTGAGACGAATTCAACCATACCCTATTCATGATTTTTTTCATCGATTATCTATGAAATATCACAGGAAAATGGAAGAAAATGTGCTTATCTTTATTGAAGCTTTCCTACATGTTCTATTTCGTATGATGCACGTGGGTGATTGTATAGGTGCAGGGCACACTTATTGCAGGAGATGTTCCATGTTGCCACCATTTTCAGCGAGACAAAACTCCAGCCGGCATCGAAAGTTTCCAACAACAGACCGAAGAACTACAGGTGAAATGTTTGCAATCCCATCTCTGATGGACGAGCGGGAGTGGGAGCGGGAGAGAGGGAGAGAGAGACAGAGACAGAGACAGAGATAGAGACAGAGACAGAGACAGAGACAGAGACAGAGACAGAGACAGAGACAGAGACAGAGACAGAGACAGAGACAGAGACAGAGACAGAGACAGAGACAGAGACAGAGACAGAGACAGAGACAGAGACAGAGACAGAGACAGAGACAGAGACAGAGACAGAGACAGAGACAGAGACAGAGACAGAGACAGAGACAGAGACAGAGACAGAGACAGAGACAGAGACAGAGACAGAGACAGAGACAGAGACAGAGACAGAGACAGAGACAGAGACAGAGACAGAGACAGAGACAGAGACAGAGACAGAGACAGAGACAGAGACAGAGACAGAGACAGAGACAGAGACAGAGACAGAGACAGAGACAGAGACAGAGACAGAGATCTACCAGAGGATTGATTAGTAACTGAGGGTAATTGATATTCGTAAGAAAGATTTTGAATTTGGAGGGGATTGAATGCAATGTCAGGAAATTCCCGGTAATTTGGATACGTGTTAAGGCGTGATCGGGGCCGTTGTATCCGGTTGCTCAATAGAATTCTAGTTATAAGTCTTCGATTCCGGATTCTTCCTTGGATTAGTGCATTGTCTGAATCATCTTGGTGGTGATGTAGGTGTAGGGGTAGGTGAAGGGTAGTTGGTAGGAGTTCTTGCGTGCGAGGTTCTCACGGTGCTATAATAAAAATGATCTTTAGACACCTCATTTCTAGGTATTCCGTTCAGCATTGCTGTCCGTGCCGTTCTTGTTCTTTGTTTGTCGTGATCTCTCTTTCTTTCCGCTCATCCACCTATAATGTCACAGTGTTGGTGTGATTTCTGGAAATGTGAAAAAGTGTGAGATGTCGTGTACAATATAATGATATCCCTAAATTATCATAATATATATATAACTTATAATGAGTAACGCATGTTCGTCGAGGATCAGTTACATTTATTGTGGTCATTGACCTTTGCTAATGGGAGTACTGAGGGGGTGCTGAAGGGGGGGGGGCAGTGGGGTTGCGTTGCGTCGGACGTAACATTCTGGAGGTGTAGTGCTGTGCCCTAGTGCAGTGCCTACCTGTGTGACCTCTAGATACAGTTCTCGGCCTTCACGAATTAGCTGCACTAGCTCCAGTGAGGACTCCCAATATATTAATTGGTGGAGGGATTTCGATTTTATACCTCTGGTTCATTCTGTTACGTTCTCGATTTGTTGCTCTCTGTATCCGGCACTATTTCCTTGACGCTTACTTCGATCCTCTCTACTTCAGCCTAGCAGCCTGAGCATTTGCGTAACCGTCTGCTCCAGTTCGTGCATCCACTTGCGTTTGCTTATTTTATGCGACCCCAAAGATTGCGTTACTCGTTTTCACGCGCCCCTAAAAATCGACAGGATCCGTTAAGTTATTGCATTATCTGATAGGTTCCGTCGGAGCTCCCGTTTCGGTGGAGTTGGGTCTGTTTCACCCCAACTCCCAGTTCATACCGACTCGTCAGTTCCGGATGAAAAAAAAAAGAATTGGCTGGCAATCGCCTGGTTTGCGAATTCTGAGCAAAGGGTGGACGGCCGAAGGTAACGCAGGTTTGTTCTCGAAGATAGTTAGCTCTCAGATTTTTCGCTATTGGTGTCTAGTTACCAAAGTACGTTACAACCTATACATTTGAGGTTAAAGCTTGAAAGTTGCACAAGCTATGGATGATAATACCAGTTCCTCATACTTGAATTATTATTTAATACTTACGCATTGAATAAATTTAAATAAATTAATTCAACTGCGCAACCTATGACGAATAATTCTCAAGCTGGAATGTCACGCGCTATCTTAATGTTAAGATGAAGTGTTCGTATATGGGAACTAGGTGAGTTTGTATCTAATCTAAATTGACATTCCCAAACAATGTACATACATGATACATAACTTTGACATGGTTGATGACTTTTTTACTTTAAATTTTATCTACACAACTTACTTGGATTGATTGTATTGAACAAGGAAGTAGGAGTTATTATATTTCAGTAATTAATTCATTTTTAAAATGTATTTTTAATTTGCTTTATATTTAATGTACATAAACAAAAATGTTTGTGGCTAATTTCAGAAGAATGAGGAAGGTACATATTGTACTCTAAAGTAAAGTGCTCCTGTACTAGTATTTTGTGAAATCACTGTGTACGTATGTACTGTGACGTTAATTTTTAACGTTACAAAAGTCCCGATGTGGTACTCGCGTGCTTTTGATCACGGAACGCAGTATCGTCTCTCGGGAGGTAAAATCCGACTGTACCGGCCAAGAACTCCAGGGTCCCGATTACTATATTTAACGAGATTAGGCTAATTTTTGTTATACAATAATTTCATGCGATACGTCGAACTACCGCCACGCCGAGGAAAACACCAACAGAGAGAACGTCATCCTCTTTAGTATCGCCGGAAGAGAACAGCCGGAGGTTAACGCCAGGGAGCGTGAAAGAACGCTAACATCAGCAGGCGCCTCCACTCCGTCACGGCCGGCCCAAAATAGAGTAGGGAGCCGACTAACAGGGAACATCGTTATGGACTACCATCACGTTCCGTCAATCCCGGTATCGGTGCCCTGTTGGAGGCATCCGTATCGAAGAGGGAGCTCAGGGAGCTACTTTAAGCCGACGAGTCACTACCCTCCGCTACTGCAACGTCTCGTCAACCCAAGACCGGACTGCAGCGACTACCCGCCACTATCTGGACACCAAAAAGACACGGCAAGAAGCCCCGTTGATCGTCTATCCGTTCCGAGTCTCACGAAAAGGCGACGTACGCCACTGTATCGCGCGTAGACTGTGAAGGAACTTAGATTTTGCGTACCATTCTTCCCCGTATCGTAGTTATATGATTCGTTGGAGGCTCTGGTTAATATCTACTTTAATATAGAGCATTTCGCGTCGGGTAGTTAACAAATAATTTCGTATTGTGAAGTAGTTATCGAATTAGTCCATTGGCATGTTTCAAATATTAGTGCGCAAGCCATGATTGAGCCACTTAGTTGTCTCGAGCCCTGTAGGTCACAGAAGTAAATTGTATCGTAGAAAGGATTACTTCTCTTTATTTCACGTGTCTCGCAAGGACCTTATATAGCGTGTTATTCTGTCTTAGCGTATTTCGTTCGCGTGTCCCGTGTAGGACGTCGTCTCGCGCGATATCGTATTCTTATTTATTTCATTTCCATCTATTGTTATTTCATTTGTTACATTCATTTTATAAATCCCACAATAAAAGGGCCTGTTGTTACTGTTATTCGATATCTCGTAGTCTCTCAATCTACTTTCTTTTACCATCTGTGCGTTCCCTACCCCTCTACCATCTCTTTCCGTTTCTTTCCTCCTAGCCGGAGTCCTCTTACTTTTCTCGGGAGTTTCGTGTGTCTCGCGACGCAGCGTTGCGTCTGGCGTCCATTTGGCAGTTATCCTAGTCCAAAATTTCTTAGTTACCTTTTCCGGGGAAATTTTAGAGTATCGTCCATTTCGTTCTTATTTGTGGTGCAATCAGGTTGCTTTGCTACGAGGCAACTTGAAGAAAATAACGTCACAGTATATACATGTTCTTAAATTTGAAGGAAAATCGTTATACTCTGCTCAAACGCATTAACTGAAATTAAATTGTGCAATGCTATGTTAGATTCAAACGGAGAAGTCAATAATGGAAGTTTAACTGAATGGCAGCGGTTTTGCATACAAATGATTTATAACATCAATCGGATTCAAAACATTTTAATAATAATATTCTCCATTTAATACATTAAGTTGAATATTAATAGAAAATATGAACATTTTATAACTTTTTTTATTTATATGAATGAAAATATAAAGTGTTTAACTTCGTTTCAGATTACGTATACAATCCGAAGGAGGCGCGTTTGCGAAAAGCAATGCGTGAACAAAGCCGTGAGATGTCACGACAGTCGATATTGCAATCTGCCGTTGCATCTGCCGTAAGAACTGCATCTCCACTGAATGTCAACACGTCGAAAAATATGAATTTTTCACATCATCCGTCGGCGGGTTCTACATCTGTCCTGGGTGCAGGGGCCACTATATCCACTTTGCCTGAAAATAGTTCCAATGATAATTATGATCGAGCAGTTAATCCATGGATCTCGCTTGGACACGCAGCACCAATTGGGCTTATGAAACCAATTCTTTTGTCAAGAGTGAGTGCATAATTAGGCTTTGTACAAAACAATAAGGGCGTACTCATCCCTTAGTATATTATTATTATTTATGAGTCGATCCACAGCAAGATTTAGATTCTAATGTTGATCGTTTGTTTGATTTTACTTACATTCGGCAACACAGTTGTTTTGAGATATAATTAATAATGTGACAGAAACTTGTAATATGCAGAAAAATGTAAAAATATAGATAAAGATATATTGTATCACTGTTGGCAATGAAAAATTTGAATTTGGTTTTGTCGGTATATTTAATTTAAGTGTCGGTTAATCAGGAAAGTGAACGTATGAAACTTATCAATGAATAAAACAGTATTTGGTAAAAAATGTATGAGCAAGCGTTGATAAATGGAATGAAATTATATTATTAACAATAAGTTTGTATTTTTAAGGGTATACCTGCACATCAGGGGATGGCAGACAAAAGTAACGAGATGTTGAGGATAGAAGTTGATTGCGTCAATGGACATGCATTCTCAAATAGTTCTACGAGTAGTTATGCCGGAGATTTTGTGCAGCATAACACTAATGCAGATACAGTTAGTGGACAGCCTAGTAGCGATTATTGTATTATCGCCGAATTTACGGAGGGACAAAAATGGCACCCGTATCAGGTAGACAAAAAATGGCTAAAAGTGTTATGAAACTAAAAATTAATAATATGGTCTTAATTACTTTGTCTAATAACTGGTTATTTGGATGAAATTCATTTTCGATTTTTTACTTAATTTTGTTTCTTACAGAATGTTCCTAATAGCTATCACGGGGGGGGAACCCCAATTTCAAAAATCGCGACTTTGCATGGGAATATTCCGAATGCAGCTTCGCACACTCATGGGGCTTGGACTCAATTTTGCGGATTACCATTGCGTACGTTGTTAACAAAATTTTTGTTCACATTTTTTTTTTCTAAAAAATTTTCCCATTTCTAGCTACCTCCACCACGCAAAGCGCGATGCTTCGTAGCCCTCGACATATGCTCTTCCTTCAGGATCACCGCAGTGAACAGCGCAATTTCATTGATGAAGCACATCACAATTCAAATAAGGTCGAAGTAAGAAACAGGCTCCCGGCTGCATATTCACCACAAGAGTATTGGGTATCATTATTTTTTGGGATACTTCGTATGTTTTAGACAATTAGTATGCTCAAACTATATATAAAAAGAACAATAGCATATAGCAATCAAAATACATAGAAAGGTTTTTTCAAGCCATACATATTGCTATATCTTATATCATATTCCATGTAGACTTATTGGAGATTAGATCAATCGATTTGGAATTATAACGATATTACATTAGACCCCCCCCCAATAACATTTTCGTGTAAAAAAACTATGTCAAGTACATAAGTCATTATATATCTGCTTATTATACGATCTAACAGTAGTCCATTTTAATTGTATTTTCAAAATTACCTAAAACGTCTTCGCTACTCTTTTATATTACTAGTGTTTCTGATATTTAATTATGACTTAATGGTCACTTAATAATAAATCAAAGTTTAGGTGGTTCCTTTATCGAGTACTACATGGGGGGTCTGTGAATAACGGTTACTCGATATAAATTTGCATTAATTTTGCCAGTCTTCAAACACAAAACTAACGTCAACTTTCTATACAGAGTATATTAGCAATAATTTGTCAAAAATAATCACGCTTAAAGTCTAATAACAAACATATAGGCTTAGAATACCATTATTACGTTTTTAAGTAAGTACTTTGGAATTTCTGGCATGAAGACGACGACGACGTATCTGAAATAAAATCATCTCGCTCGCTATCTCAGTACGCCCTGATCTCGTACACTAATCCTATTGATTTCGATGGTAATCGATTCAAAACCTTAAATTCTTGTAGACAATGTATGAACAATCTTTTCTCATATATAGCGATTCATAAGATATTTGATTCCAAACATAGGTATAAGAGTTGACTCGGGTAAAGAATCTCTGCGGTCCGTGCCCTGTGCAGCCGGTTGCCTGTACTTGGTGTGAGACTCGACTGAGTCTTTTAATATGTTCATTTTAAATTCATTTTTAGTGGAAAAAGTAGAGTGATAAATATTGCTCGGATTACATATTAAGCTAGTCACGACCATAAAGAAGTATTAAAAAATGGTATATTTGAAATAAGCATGCATTGATTAAAAACTTCGCTTTTGTTAGCTTCTAACATAAGTAATATGATTCCGTGTTTAATGTTCTACTGGTCACATTTGGTTTCATAGACTTGAGAATTATATATGGTACAAATTATGCTAAGAAATATATTTATTTCTTAAGGTAGTACGAGCGGTACAGTCCTCTTACGTGAGAATGAAAATGAAAAAGTTTTAAACAAATGTAAAGCTTGAAACTGACGTGCAGAAAGCTATATTTGAGAAGAGGCAAAGTCCCTCTAACATAAAAAGAAATAATAGTTGTAAAATTATTAGCAACGAAGCAGCAATCGCGTATTAAGAGTCATACGTCGTACCATTTTTCTGTAGAAAAATCTATATTACTTGTCCGATTTCAATGTAATGTAGCTTATTTTATTCGTTAAACGATTCTCTAGATATTTACCGGATTAGAATTTTCGATTAGCACTATTGTTCCTCAGAAATTGTTGCTAAAGAAATTGTTCATTGCATCATAGTATGAGCAAATAGCTATATTTCTTGTACCATATATTTTTAGAAAAAAATCTGTTTTGGTGGATCTTTAAAGAATCTTTGAACAAATAAAATAAGCTACAGTATATTGTATTCGGACAAGTGATGTAGATTTTTCTTAAGAAAAATGATACAAGGTATGACTTCTAACAATAAGCAACTACGCTTTTGTTGCTTCGCTGTTAATAATTTTACAACTATTATTTCTTTTTATATTATAGGCACTTTGCTTCTTTTCGAATATAGCTTTCTGTATGTCAATTTCATGCTTTAAATTTCTTTAAAACTTTTTTCATTTTTACTTTCACTGGGACTGTACCGCTCGTACTACCTTAAGAGTATTTTAGTTAAATATATCGACTGCTTTTTAGACATGACGGCGTGGAGCCTGTCGGAACGTTTTATGCATTCGCTATTGAAAGTATTAGAGCAAACAAATTGGACTTGAGGGATGACGACTTGATCCTACGATCGCATTCATACATTGGTTGTTCAAAACAAAAATTAATTTTGAAATTCTGGAAATGCTAATGATTTTTCTGTAATTTCAATCTGATTGGTTAAGCAATTCAACCGGACATTTAGATGCACACCTACGATACTAAGTTTTTACATATTTTGTGAATGTGCTGTTTCGATCCCCGAAGTCTTAAATATTTGAAAATCGCTATCTACATCTTGAACCAAATTTCTCATTTATATTTCAAATCAATCAGTGTAGCGGTTCTTTCAGAAGTTTGGATACACACTTTGACATTGATTTTAAGGATCTTTGCGCATGGCTGTTTTGAAACCGAAAGTGCTGGACATCTTCAAATTTTCTGTTTCATTTTTTCGATGGCGACTGCATAAGACGCTCCCATATGTTCCATGCGGTCGTGCCTGAAAATTCATTACATAATGCAGATCAGTAGTGACATGATTTATGTACGATTGAACGTGCAACGTTATTGTATCAAGCTGTCATTTTTTAATTATATATTCATATTTTTGATATACACTGAGCTTTTTAATATCATGCGTTTACTAACATGCACTCTATTGTACATTTTAATATATTGGATGTATCGCAAAAATCTAATTTGGTTGTGGTTTCGAATCAGTAATGCCACACCTCGTTACTAGTAGTAACGTTTATTGGGAGCAAAGAATATAGTAAACAAGAAAAGCGTACGAAAGATATAGCGAAATTGTGACAAAAAAATATTATGGTAAAATCGGTGAGGTTATATAAATAACGGTCTAAGACACCTTAGTACTAGTATTGAATTGTGATATTGACAGTTCGAAGTCACACCTAAATTCGGAAATTCTTCTGATACACCCGCTATAAATGAAGATATTAAAAAAAATGAAATGTATCTTCACTAGATACACGATGAAGAAAAGTGCACGGAAAATGACGGACGATGGATGCATGGAACTTCAAACGAGTTGAGTTCATCCAGTACGTTGCAACCCGGAAGAAGACTCCATACAGATCTATCATCGGAACAACAGGATGATCAGATGCATTTGCAGGTGCGAATGCAATCTCGCACTTATTCACAGAAACCATTTATGCAGACATATACTGAATGTAATTCATATCAGGCCAATCAATTAAAGAGTGATGAATGGTCCAAGGAAAACTTTTGCTGCAAGCAACGATTGCCAGGTTTCCATCAGGCATTCGGATCCACGGAAATTGGTCGATTTTCCCGTTCTCAATTCTTCACGAGTATGGTTGGCAGCGATAGTGACAACAGCGTAAGTAACAACAGCAGTAACAACAACAACAACAACAACAATAACAATGGCTCGTGCCATGTCAGTGGTACATCTACTTTTGGTCCCACTGCCGATGGCGCCTCTGTTGGAAATTTCACATTAGCCGCTCACTACAACGAGGTCCGGAACACCCCCGCGTCCCGATGGCACAATCCATACGTGGGTGTTATAGGTAGCGAAATTTAAGTGATTAATTAGATCATTTCTGATTGCTAGAAAAATGTTACTATTCTTACCATTATCGTCATAAATAAGTGTGATATGGTGAAAGTATTTGTATACATTATTTTTGTTGTCACATTACTTTACGCGGTCATTATAATTATAATGGTATCTCGATTAAATATTTAGAATAAAAATAAATTCATACGTATAAACTCAAATTAAAAAATGTATAGGAATTTTCGATTTTATAGGTTGTGTGGCTTTTGGTTTTGAATCTATAAGGTTCTATTTCTTTTCATTTTATGTTTAACTGGAAATAATTTACATGCGTGGACATTCTTCTACGCGAACATTTTTATATAGTCGAGTATTTATTTTGGAAGTTCTCGTATATTTTTTGTTTTGAACAAGTTATAAATTTGTTTCTCTGTCTTCGAGGATCTTAGACCAAAATTATATTACTAAATACTGATGTGTTCATTATAGGTATTTGAAGGAAAGATTTATTATTCAAGAAGTTTTAAAGAGGATGCCTTTCATTTTCAATTTTTGTCCTGTTTATATTTACAAGAAAGTATCTTCATTGGCATTGATATAATACGTAGAACCACGGCGATGATCTTTTCTTTCTTCTAATTTGTTATACTTAATGGTTCCGTTAGCGATTGTTTTTTCCGAATTTTTTTCTGAATAAATGAAAGCTTTGTAACAATATTTATTTCATTACCAAAAAAGTGCCATTTCATGAGCACAAGAAAGTATAAGTTGAATTGATTATTGATGTTATGCGCACGTGTGTTTGCATAATAATACAATTTCGAGCATTCTTAATTTAACATATCAAAATGATAATCATAATTATATTTTACCACAGAAATGCACAAGTAAATGATAAAAAAATGTATGTGAACTTAATAAATGATTTTGCTCTGTTTTAACCGTTTAATCCAATTTTCAAAAAACCATACTAAACTTGTGACAAAAAGAAAACGCAGTTTGATGTGCAAAAAAGTGGACAAAAACGAAAATAAAAAATCAATAGATCCGAGGTCTGTAATTGTATACTGATGCATTCACACATGACGTGTTAATAACGTTATACTTAAAAAAATCCATGGAAGTTTCTTGTATATCTGTAATACGTATGTAATTCAACAAATGGCGACCATAAAAACAAGAGGGCTGACAGATTGAATGTAATCGATCAAATTTTAATTGGTTATCAAACTTGTGCCTTTCGATGGACTGGGTATATTAAGTATTATTACAGTTATTAAGATAATCAAAGTGAATTTTACATACCTATTATTATTCATTAAAAGCTGATTTCATCATTTTCACCATAGGCGCGTACTTGCTCTTTATATATACATATATATGAGTGAGATATGCCAGCCCCCTTATCTAATTAATTCTTAAATTTTTAGATTGAAATAATTAATTGGAAAATTTGGGGTGCATCTATGTAATTGAACTAGGTCCAATATAATTGACACAGAAACAAAATACATTTTACGTCTATGTTATGTCGAAGTCATGTCCTCGAGAAGGGTTGCGTTTGTGGAATACATAAAGAAAAAAAATACAAGGGTTTGTAACGAAATATTCTGGATTTTTGTAAGCAAGACATGTGGTTGATGGGTTCTGCGTTGTGGAACGCAGAACGATTTTGTAAATAATATTGAATATGTAAATTCGAACAATGCATGCATCTCATACAGATATGATAATCAAAGTCGAAGCGTTCTCTATGTTAACAAATTATTAACATTAAGTAGATAATTATTATTTATTATGAAGAAATTAAATATGTGATAAAGGAAACACACAATACCCAACACACGCAGACATACCCCACACACTAGAATCTACGTACCCATATAAATATAAAATTGTCTATTATGTAAATGTTATGATATGAAAGGAAAATAAGCGAGGTTGTCCTGATATTCCACAAAGCTTAAAATTTAATTTATTTCCAATTTAAAAAAAAACCTTTCTTCCGTAATTCGATATACGTATTCAAGCATAGAATAATGACTATATAAGTCAGAAAAGCTTTACTAAATGTATTTTACTAAACGTATAGTATTTTATTATTTAGTTTTATATTCTTTCTTTTTTTTTAAGTTACGCTATTCCGTGTACTTTAATGGATTTGACAAAGTTTTTTGGCATATAAAAATTACAGACTAATTAATGTTTTGATGAATTGATTGGAGGTAGAACAGAACAATAATTGTAAATATTGTCTCTCTCATTATTCAAAATGCACGTGCATTCATATTTACTAAATAGGAAACTTAAAAAAAAGAGACAAAGTATAAATATAACGCAAGAAGCCGTCTCCTTTTGTTTGTTGTCGTTCTACTTGGATAACAGTGCTTCATTTGATCACTTGCTAAAAATTGGTCATTTTATTTATTTGAAAATTGCGGCCGAAGTAGTGATAATAGCCTAGGGGAGAATGCTACGTTGCTGCTTGTAAATAGAGCAGCCAAAAGCACGAATCGTAACTTAGAATCACAGGTCCAACTAACTTTTCAATGGCTGCTGGTTAGGACAGAGAATTTTTTAAATTCGAAAAACATCACATGGGTATATGGGTTTTTGAATAAAATTATGTTTAGTACGTGCGTACATGCATATAAGTTGTATGTGATATGAGTAAAATTATTATTATTGACAATTTCGCTAATGAGTATGATAAATATTCTGTAAGAAGAAATGAAGATACTGTAATAAATTTGGTAATTATAAGTGGTGGTTATCTTTGTTGATGGAGATTATGTGATGTATTTAATTCTTCCGGCGATTATGAAAGTGTCCCAAGACGCAAATGTGTCGTTGAGATAATTAGACGTTTTCGTTTGCTTTAAAAAAATTATTATTTAATAATTAATTCAATTTTTCCATATTCATGACTTAGGTGACTTTTATAATTACTGGTACAATTAATTATACAATTAGTGGATAATTTTATTCCGAATTTCTTTTGACTTCTTGTACAGTAAGCATTAACAATACCCTGGACTGAGGATGTAGGATGATCGATGCTTGGTAATGGTCCCCAGTCCAGGGCATGGTTGATGTTCATTATACAGATAATTTGTCGCGAATGAGCTTAGCATAGTTCCATTTTCTCAAATTTCTTTGTTTAGGGCATATTTGGAGGAAATTTCAAGTAAAAGTGTTTTAAATGCTCTTCAACAGAACTTACATTTAATTACTTTGCTAAATTAACGCATATATAGTATAATTAATTAATCTTTCCTCGGGGATTTCACGATCATTATGTATTTTGTAGGCATTTTGGCTGGGAAACAAGGAATCAAACTCTAGTCTTCATAAGTAGAACGGTCTTTATTCTTTCTTTTCTACAAGCACACACTGTGTTTACGCCCTAGCGTCTCTGCGACGACTACTACTTTGTCTTCTTACTTCCCCCTCCTATATCGAGACTTCTGCCCTACGCGCGAGAGCTAGGCAACGTTGCTGTGTTCTAGGAAATAGTCGACCGTTGCGCTTTGTTTACATTAAGATGCCTACAATTTATTGATTAAAACGATACCGAGTGCCGAGAAAATTTCTATATATAAATATCAAAATGAAAAACGCAGTTAGTTGGATTTTATAAAAATCTTCGTGAATTTTCACTAAAGAAAATCATATCTTGGGAACAGTTTATACTGAAGTAATATCGACCATTTATTTAATCTTTATATGAATTCTAAAAGGACCACAGTTTTACAAAGAAATAGTTGAACATTGTTAAATTGTTCGTTTCGAAAACTTGAAAAGATAATTTAAGTTTACAGAAAGGCTGTATAGCATTGCGAAATTTTGATATCAAAATGTACCTTATTATATAGTATGTTCCTCATATGTCTGGTGTAAGATCGATTTCTTTTGTGATTCCTAAAATGGGAATATTAAAGAAAATTATTTTAAAAGCGTAAATTCTTGAAATATTCGTTGTGGAATTAACGAGTAGTCTTTAGAGGGCTGGGAGATATTATAACGTCTTGAAAATAGTGTTCATTATCAAGCATAGTACGCATTTAACTTAGAAACATCTTACAAAAGTTAAATCGGAAAGATTTAAAAAAATACCTTTAAGAGGTAATCTCGTTTGCATAAGCATTTTGAAATATCAATCTAAGTGTCTTCCATTTAAACAAAATTTTTTGAAATTCTCGTAACAAGCGCATTATTGAATCATTGACGTATTTGTTTTTGTTATTATTTAACTTTAATTGACATAATGTTACGTCTGGATGAGAACCTTCAATCACACTTCATGCTTTTTACTATTATTCTGTTCAGCGCAACGTGTTAAGTATCTATAGCAAAATGTAATCAGTCTTTGCTATTCAATGACCATCTTTATCCGACATATTACTACACATACTACACAGTAATAACTTAAAAATCGGCTTACTAAGAATCATTCTAACTCATCGCCTACCGTACATAAACATATCGACAGTTGTGCTTCACACTTCTGTGACAGCCAAGGCTAGGATATGCTTCCTGAAGAAATTATGGTATAAACTGTAACGTGGCGTCCGTGGGACGGCCAGTTACATAAAAGCGTAGGGGCACGGAGAGCCGTGTCGCCAACGAAAGCCGCCAAGAGAATGCCGAGGCCGACGAAGATTCATGGCAAGGGGAAGCCGGGGAGAGAAAGCGGCACCGCCGAGCCCGAAAATCGGGCGGACTCGGGTAAGATCGGCGCCGCCCGGAGACTGGCGGGCGGTGAGCGCCGAAAAGCGGATAGCGGACCGAGGCGAGGGATAACGCACGAGTTCGGGTGAACTCGGGATTCTTCGGGAATCCTCGGGCCGGGGGGCAAAAAGGGGCCCACTTCGTTTCGAACCGCGGATCGGGAATACCGAAAATCGGCGGATAAGGTATCGCGATTTTTCTGGTTGGAGTGTGGTGAGAGTGTGTGAGGATTGCAGGACCTGTTGTGCAACGTGGCTTTTTCCCGGACGTGATATGGAATGGGATCTATCGACGACGACGGCGCTCCTACGGTACTCGGAGAATAGAGGGTGGAGACGGCCGACGAGGAGGAAAATTGCCAACCACCACGACCCGAGCGACGAGGAAGAAAGGTACGGTTCACCGGAAGATTCGGTAAGTGCAGTTTAGGCGACCGCCCCGAAGCCATGCAGCCGGGGATGAAGCGCATCCGCCGGTGCATCTTGGCACGAGGAGTGGGGGGCCGCGGGCCTCGCCACGGGTCCTGTCGGTTGCAGATTTGAACCGACCACCGTCAACAGGGATGACCTCCGCGATATAATCAAGTTCACAGCATCGTAAGTAGAAGTCTAGTTTTATTAGTTTTCATAATAATTTCCAAATGTGGATTTAAATTTGTATCCAATTCGGTAACAATTCGTTCTATACGGCCAGTCTCATGACTATCAACGACATAGGGTGTAAGTAACTGGCCGATCCCGGGTAAATTACTGAAAGGTTAGTCCCTAAAAAGCCATTGTGAACATCCTCCCGACGTTGCCCATTGCTTATAAATACTCGCGAGTGGAGTTACTTTATTTCTACAGAGTGACATAATACACCTATACCTCGATTTTGGAAATAAGTTGGGACTTATTATTCAAAAGTGTAGTTAGTATAAGTATGTAAGTACACAATAGTCTCAGTATCAGGCCATACAAGAAGAGGTTTTATTCTTACATTTTATGTCGTATCATAGTGAGAAAAAAAACTAGTAATTACTTTCAACAGTGGCTTTCACCTTGGCTTTTTTTAATATTATAAAGTTTTTAAAGTTCATACACAGATTTTTATGCTAAATATTATTCTGACTATCATAGCCGTGGGACATGTCATGTACATAAATGTTTTCTCGCTGATTCAAGGTCTGAAAACTTCAATTCCTCAAACTTGCAAACGTTATTGAGAGCCTTTCTGATAAATGTAAGTTATTTTATTTTATCTTAACATAAATATTATGTTGTCCTTATCTTGATCAACCATCGATTTCTTAACTAAATTTCCAAATTGACTTCTGTCTCACACTTAATACCTACGCGAAATCCCAGCTCGCGATCAAGTATCAGATCACCTCGCAAGTAAGAGTTCAATTTCGTCAATTTTCTTAATAATTCCAATTACTGTATTTGAATATCGATATGTGTAACTCAGTTGATATTTCAATACTTCGGAATCACTCTCTATTTATCTTCATTCCGCTAATATTTTCAATTTGAATCTAAAAGTATAATGTAACCTTCTACAAGGATCTATACTTCACTAAAAGTATGTCGATTTTAAGTTCTGTTAGTCGTAATTGTTCGATCCCTGACCACGACGTCTTATGACTATCGACTTCTTAGGACGTAAACAGCATGTCGATCCGGGGTAAAATTCCGAAAGAATTAACCCTAAACAGGCTATATTAAAATCAGTAGAGTAGAGTCAATCTGTCTTTCCATTCTCTCCTTTATCAATAACATGCGATTATCAAACGTGATAGTAGAGTAACATAAATTTAAAAGGACCATACAATTGACTATCTATTGTGACGTATGCCGTCCATCAGCGTCGCCTACAAATAATCCGTGACCGCTCCCAACGTGCTGAAATCGAAGAAAAGATCCGAAGATCTAGTTGTTGGGCGCTAGGTGCGGCTTTCCCGCACCACCATCCCTCACAACGGCCGTCTTCCACATTTCCCGGCGGCTCAGCCTCAGCGCACTGAAAATGGTAAATGGGGGCGACGAGAGAGAATTTCGGAGTCATCGGAAAGGCGCGCGAAATGATTAGGCAGCGAGTAGAATACCGTTTCGTTTATTACCATTAAATAAACGAAGGATTTTACAATATAAATCCCGTCGCGTACAGTGTGTTCCCCAACGGCGGCTCACGGCTATTCCGATTCGTGGTGGCTAGCCTGTCCAAGACCTGTCCCTATTTCGGTGTGCCTACCGAATCCGCGAATCTCGTCGCGCCGCAATTCGCCTTTCCTAGAAGGTCTCGTTTGAGACGAACTTTTTCTTCTTCGGGAGTGTGCCCCCTGATGTCGGTAGCCACCAGAGGCATTCGTGTGTCCGCACCACTCCCGCTCGGCTATCTTCCCGCGCGAGATATTCTCTAAATAATACCGCTCTCGTGGTACTTGCCGAGAGCTGGCTGTCCCATCAGTCCTTTAAGAAATCCCAATAGAGGTGGCCGTGTCCCTTCCGCCTATCTCCATGGTGCCGCGTCCCGGCTCCACGAGGGCGTCCTCCGAACACTCGGAGTTTCACACACTCAGCCACGCACTGGCACTATACTATATAAAATAAAAACGGGAGCCATGGTTCTCTGCGAGAAATCTCGATAATCGCAATCCGCGATTATCCGATAGATCCGCTATCGCCCGAGCACGGAAAACAAACTCATTTTCTCGCGGTCCACCGGACACCCGAGTCCTTACACACGGATTCCCCGCACATACCCCCTCTCTTCTACCTACCGCTCTTCGCGGTAGATCAAAAATCAAAACAATTCTCCTTTCTGGCGCCCTCCCCGCGGACCCGGAAACCGTAGTCGGTCGAAGTTCCCGGGATACCGGCACTGCGTCCCGACGGTTGAGCACCTTTTGCGTGCGGACTCTCAACCCTAAGGGCCCCGTGCCTCCGCCGCCGGTCCACTATTTTCCCCCGTTTCCTCCTCCCGAACCCCAGACCAACGAACTCTTTAGAGATGGAGGCCGGAGGCATCGTCGTGTTGTCGGCAGCGCGCGGAGGTGCGGGGCTTTTGGAATGTGTCG